AAAAAGAAAAGATCAGTTTTCATAATGGAGTTATTGTTGGGACACCAACACGTCTGTATGTGAAGGTATTTAGGGAGCATGACATTTACCTGCCCTACAACTTCTCTGACCCCTTTACACACTGCACCTGCAGGTAAGAAATGTCAGCGTAGAATTTCACAGATCGCTGAGAAAGAGGATCAGAGGGGCAAGGGGAGAATATCTTTTCAATGCTGATGGCATGCTATTGTGAGGGATTAAAATGTCATTTTGGATATCTCAGATAGTTTAAATGAAGTCCACCAGCAAAACCTGGTGAAGTCCGCATTAGTAAGTGCAGGTATGAATATATACAGGTCACTATGACATTAAATTTTTAGCAAAAAATGTGGAATGTCACATCTGTGGATACTTCCTCACCCATAACTCGACATATTTGGTCTCAGTCTGTAATTCCAAAACCAGTTTGAATTCCAATTTTTGTTCACACTTGAAATACAACTCTCCTCCATAACCAGAAGCTCAGAGTGGCAGAACTAACTTATTTCACCACTTGCCAAGTCGGGAATGGAAATTGAAGTATGTTTAATGCTTAAAGAAAGAAAAGTACAAACTACTTTGTGAGTGGATGGGTTAAAGTACTAGGAGAGCAAAAATGCAGTGCACTAGGCCGTACCCTGTAGTTCACATCCATTCTCAATTCACTTTCACAAGGCACATCTGTATACACTCAGTTCATCAGCATCAGCTCTTCCTTCAAATTAAATTATGACCTTTATTTCAAAGCAAATTTCATCTCTAAATACAATTGAATCATTCTATGATGTTTTGGAGAGCATCTGGCTAATCTTTGCCTTCCTCGTACAAGAGAAGTCAGTTCTTTCGGTCCTTGCCCTCCCTTCATATCTAATATTTTTCAAAGTTTGGGTTTTATTTTGAAATAAAATTGAATTAACCTGCACTATTTTGGAGCACCTGGCTGGCTCCATCAATGTGTGTGTATTCTCTGACCTCTTCACTCACTGCCCAAGGGAAGGAACAAATTAGTTTTACTACTGGGCAGAAATTGAAAACTGGAGTTGTAGGGGAGATGCAGTACAGCTGTAGCCAGAGCTGGCCTGCTCTCAAAGACAAGCAGGGGAGAGCTGTGAAGAGCTCTGAATGTACTGAGTTCAGCTTTGTCTTGGATATAGAAGATAACAAAGGTTGTTCTGTGTGAGATAGAAGTGAACTAAAATGCTAGGCCAGCTGTAAATAGACTCTGAAGTAAAAATTATCATGACAGTCGGAAGGCTAGAAATTATAATAAAATGTTGCAAAAGTCCAAACATCTCCAGGGGGGAAATAATCAACAGATCAAGACAAAAGTTCAAAAAATATTATTTGAAATTGTTTGGCAAAAACAATCAGAACTTGCCACCCAATATGAAACCAATCTAAATGCGTCAACTTTGCACTACCAATAATACACAGGGCAGCCAACTTACTTCAAAGTCTTATTTCACCCGCACAATTTCTTGCTATTCTACATATATTTTACCCCTATACTCTCCCACCTTAAACCACTTCACCTGTCTGGTTTGTTCAGATCTCCCAAATCTCAAGCCAGATCTGCTTCCCTCTCCGTGGAGGGCAATTTCCCTGCATTAGCTACATGATAGAGTTGCAATGACACAGAAAAGAGGGTCACTTAACCTGACAGACTGGCTTTCTTGAAGTAATTTTGAAATGCTAACTAGCTTTGGGTCTTGATTCTCTCCACTCTCCCTCTTTTTACATGAAGGGATAATCAAGGAGATGGTTTTAAGATTGAAAATCAGGCCACCTGAAGTCTTCAGTAAACTTCATTTAAACATTTTCCACTGCACTCATTTAAAACACATACACATGTACACAAACAAACACAGACAAAAACATTTCTTCCAAATAACTTTTTTTTATTTTTACCTGCTACTACTTTTAAAAGTTTCAATTTAGAACAATTCCTGACGAATTTCTTCAGAATTAAGGATCAGGTGACCAAATTTCTTAACAAAATATCAAAGAGGGGGGACTTGATGTGAAAACATATCACCACTGACAGTACTCTGCATATCTAGCATTCCGTATAAAGGCACACATTTTCAAAAAATCTTCAAAAAAATCTTCAAAAAAATTGCTTTTAACTGGTGTCAGCAATTTTCTGGTTGTTTGAAATTCAAACAGACAATGGTAGTGAAAGCTTTGATCTGCTTTACGCACAGTTGTTTTTTAAAGTCATTTCAAAATGTCTTCTTGTGGAAGAGAGACCCTCCTCNAACTTGTTCACACCAAAAAACCCTTTTCTTCAAAAAAATTGCTTTTAACTGGTGTCAGCAATTTTCTGGTTGTTTGAAATTCAAACAGACAATGGAAGTGAAAGCTTTGATCTGCTTTACGCACAGTTGTTTTTTAAAGTCATTTCAAAATGTCTTCTTGTGGAAGAGAGACCCTCCTCTCATTTTAACCATGATTGCAGACCTGTAACCTGCAAAATATCAACTTTAGTTTTTACACTTCAACAAGCAACAGTTAGCAACAATGGACCATATAGCAAGGCAGTGACAAATGGAAAACCCAAAAATTTTCTATCGCTTTAATGCATTCAAATTTTACAGAGGAGAATAAAATAGCTCAAAATTTAAAGATATGCATGATAACAAAAGATGAAGGAAGTTCCAAATTTTTACAATGTCCAAATTATTCTGAGCTTTGCCAATACCATGTGCCAGAAAGCGAAAAAGATATATATAAAACAGTCCTAGGCATAGCCAAGTTTAAAATAGAAGCATTTGAATTGCCCATCTATTTATCTGCATGTTCTAGACAGACTGGCCTAGAGAGAAAGAAAGTGAATACACCTGGAGTAACAAAGAGTTCTCAGTACGCCAGCAGGTGATTGTTTTCATTGTTTATCCACACCTGGGGCACATGGAGGAAGAATGTGTCTGGAGTGGACAATGAAACAACACCTTAAGGCTGTCATATTAATAATGGTATTAGATAAAAGACATCAGTATTCAAGATTTTCTCTACTTCTATGCTTATACCAAGTAACTGACTGGCTTTCAAGGTCACTTACATTTTCTTAAAATTCCTGTCTAAAAAGTCTTAAAACATTTCAATAATTCATATGAAATATGCAATACTGATAATTTAATTTCCTAGTGTAATTTATCAAATCCTTTAGAAAAAAATGGATCATTTCACACATCCAATCTGATATATACAGATCCTTCTGTATCCATGAATCACTATTTATGATGCATGCAGTTTATGGATCATTTCTTCATCATGAGATGACACACAGAATACAAATGTGTAAGACCAAGCAATCGATGAAAAAAACACGGCTTTAGTCATAGGGTTCAGCCACCTTTATCACGTCTTGTAATTTCATATGATGTATCATCGGATGTAGCAAGCTGTCTGGCTCATAAATCAATTAGCCAACACCTATTTTTCTCCCCCTCCTCCCCTTTTATTAAAGAAGTGTTAAAACTTGCACAAATTTTATGGAGCACTTTTATTAAAAATAACCCTTACTCTTTAACAATGACTTGGTAGTGGGAGTGGGGGATGGGATGGAAAGGAAGGGTGCAAAACTTTTGCTGATCAGTATATTTTATACCCATAATATTCACATCATTTCATCACCCACAAACCTACAAAAAGTCAAGGTTCATCAGAAACAAATACGCCCAGCTTATCAGAAGTTAAGTACCTTGTCAATCAAATTAACAGGAGTTGATCCAGGGACCATTAATATTCATCAGGCGTGGAGAGAAGCATTTAGGACAAGCTATTAATGTAGGGTCTTATTATTCACTCCTAAAGACATACACTTTACACATTCATATTTCCATCATTGGAATCATGTTTTGGTTTTTAAACAACTTTACACATTCATATTTTCATCATTGGAATCATGTTTTGGTTTTTAAACACTGTCAAAGTATACGCAAATGGGAAGTTATTTCTCATTTTTCAAAAGTGAATCTTAGAAAAATCATACACTGAAAAATATAATGTTAAATTCTGTAAAGCCCTCATTTTGCCCTAACAATTCATCACCCCCGGGACTTATTTTAGAGGACATTATCTGTTGTTTTGAATTTATTAGTGATGTCATCTCCCCAGTTGGTTACCCTGCAGCTAACACCACATGTTATATCATCCCCTTTAATGTATTTAAACATAAAACACTGTCAGTTTTCCTTCACTTCGTGTTACTAACAATTTGATTTTCTAGGATCCTCCCAGGTGCCCCTCAACACACACTTGCGCAGGCAGGCACGTACACATGCACCAAATATTTTGGGGTTAATGTAATGAGTGTGATAACAATTTTCAAAGCACTTTATTGTTCATTTTTTGACACAACTTTTTTCCTTACATCTATGTAAAGAAGTACATGATATAATTACTGCTTTCTTTTCCTTTGCTAACTTTTAGTTAACCATCATTAATCACATTTTTTTAATCCTTTTTCTAAAAGAGGATGTGGCGTTCTTCAATAAAATAAAACTATAAATCTCCATCTTTCCCCAAATCACCACCCACACAACCAGATGATGCAAGGGCCCATCAGGCTGTCATTTTGCTTTAGAATGGAGGCCATTATGATGTGGTATTATTTACATATATTATACCGATTTTTTTAATATTATACTGATTTTATTTATACATGCTATTTTTAAAGGAATTTAATATCAATCATTACAAAAAAGAAAAACAGTAAAAGATTTGTTAATCAACTTGTATTCCTTTCTGAAAATCAATGCAACATAATTAATTTCTCAGGTGTCTGAGTAACATTGGGGATCCAAGTCACCACAACATGGTCCAAGAATAAACAAACAAAATTTCATGGGTACTTTTACACACTGGTTTATTCCTGGTTGAGAACTGGGACCCCCAGTCAGCTTGCTCAGCTATCTGGTGTGGCCATGTTCAGTCTCCTTTGACCTGGCAGTTAAAGATTGTCTCCTCAAAGCTGTCTTCTATCCATGAAGCCTCCTGTTCACCATTTTAAGAGATTTCTTGTTTTTGCCCACCACCTTAAGCTCCTCCTCCAGCTCAAGGATCTTAGCCTCAGCAGCTTCCAAGCGAACCTCTGCATGCTCCAAATCAACCTCTGTGATGGCCAGCTTACGAGCAACCTCATCATATTTTCTATCGGCTTCTTCAGCAATGTACTTGGCCTCCTGAAGCTGCCTCTCCAGCTCATCAATACGTTCATCATCAGTCATGGTACGTTTTTCCAGGGTTTTGCGACCTCTCTCAGACTCATCTGCAGCTCGAGAAGCCTCGTCCAACTTGGATGATGCTGCAGTGAGTCTCTCCTCTGTGCTTTCTAGGTTTTCTTCTAATAGTAAGACAGGCCTATTCAGTGTCTGCACCTGCTCCTCAACCTCTCCCTGGGCTTTCTCTGAAGCTTCAAATTTTGTGGTGGCAATTTGTAGATTTTCAGTAGCTTGGTCCAAGCCATTTTCTAATTGCTGGATTCTTTTCTGTAGGCTGTTGATTTCCTCCTCAGCCTTGGAGTTCTTTTCTTGCTCCTCTCTCAGTTTCTGCTCAGGTGCCTCAGCTCTATCTTGAGCATTCTCCTTCTCAAACTTCATCGCTTGCATCTTTTTCTTGATGGCGTCCATGGTTGATGTTTGTTGGTAGAAAGTGCCGCCGTAAAAAAAAGAAGTTATTGGTGTGATTCACTATTATGATACATTTTCTTACCTTTCTATTTGTTAAGATATCCAATTCAATTATGAAAGTGTATTTTTTTGTACTGTGTGATTTTATTTATGTAAGTTTTGAGGACAAAACTTGTGAAGAACGGGTAAGTAATTATACTGATTTTATTTATGCATGCTATTTTCAAAGGAATTTAATATCAATGCTTACAAAAAAGAAAAATAGTAAAAGATTTGTTAATCAACTTGTATTCCTTTCTGAAAATGAATGCAGCATAATTAATTTTTCAGGTGTCTGAGTATTATAGCTTAGGTTTTAAGTATCATGTTATCACGTGACCTTTCATACAAACCAGGGTATTGCT